TACCTTCTCCAGTTTGTGCTCTATGAACATCAATTCAGCCACACTAGACTTCTTCTCAGAATGCTGAACCCTCTTACTTGTGAGCCTTTGTGTGTGCTCTTTCAGCTGCTAGGACACATCTTCCTGTGAGGACCAGACTGCCTGAACTCCTTCTTTCCTTGAGTTTGGGGAATGCATATGCATTGATGCAGCAGCTCTGGAATTTGCTTGTCCCCATTTCCCCATAAGGCCTGAAGCCTTCTGAAGACCTGGTTCCTTCCATTCCCTTTACCCCTGTGTCATTCACTCCTATCACAGGGCTTCGTACACAGTAGGTCCCAGGTTAGTACTTGGCGATATTTTGTTTACTTGCCACAAGCATTAAAGCCAAACAGTCAAGACATGAGACATCAGAGCTCAACATCCGTCATGGATGTCTGCTAGGCATTGTAATCATACATAGGCTGACTCCCTGTGCAAATGAAGAGATTCTATAGGTTATATGTTTGAAAATGAGAATTTTTTTTTTTAAGGAGTATGATCCATAGTAGCCCAGAAATGAATCAGCTTAATATCCAGTCATGGCCAGATGGTTTAGTAGATTATGGCTTATATTATATACTGAAAAGGATACTATAGAACACTGACAAATATAATGAATATAAAGACTAAGTAGCAATGTGGAAAAATGATTATAATTAGTGCCAATTGAAAAAAAGGAGAATGGCCTGTTGCATACTTGCTACTCTTGTGACTAAATAATGTGTATGTGTGTGTGTTATGCATAGTGGGGGTGGAGTTCTGGGAAAGAGTGGAAAAACACAGAGAAAAGTTCAAGATGATGGGGATTTTTTTTTTACCTCTCAAAATTGGTTCTAACATTGACTTCATATCTTTTTTTCCCTCAATAAGAAGAATATTAATATTTTAAAACTAATCTGATACTCCAAAATGTTAAAATGATTCTCCTTGGGTGGTAGGATTTAGGAGAATTTTAATGATTTCTTAATAATTTCTGTATTGCTTATTTTTCTCCATTGAATATTTAACATTTATAATTAGATAAAAACAATACTGCAAATATTTACTTTCTTCCCTCTCTCACTTTGGGCAGATATACTTGCTTCCCCATTGATCTTGGGCATGGCCGTGTCACTTGCTTTGGCCAATGCATTGATGGTGGACATGATGCAGCAAATGTATTTGTGGGGGGGCCTTGTCCTCTTGCACTTCCACCATTACCATGAAAGGAATACTTTTTGGATAGATTGCCCAACCAAGAAAAATGAGACACATGGAACAGACCTAGACCCAACCTTTAGCTTGGAGCCAAGACCAACAGAGTCCAGCCTAAATAGCTGATCCTAGATAGCCCACAGATGTGTGAGTGAGAAGAAATGGGAATTGTTTTACGTCACTGAGACTTGGGGTGGTTTGTACAGCATTATTTTGATAATAACTTTGTGATAAATCTTCATTTTCAATGCTAACTTTCTAGGCAAAATATTTCTCTTTTATTCTTGTTTCATCTTCCATCTTATAAATGGTATAACACAGAAGTGGTCCAGGCTTGGAGTGACTGGATTGATTTGTAGCTTGGAGAAGCATGTTAACCTGGAGAGACCTTTTAAGAACACTAGAACATCAAAGGCTTGAAATAGGTGACAAAATGACACTAAAACTGTGGTGATGTCCCTACCACCAACAGCATTATTAACATGTTGGTGAGATTCATGAATCCCAACTACCATTATGCCCAATTTGGCTTCCACATCAACTCTATGTTATTGCCATTCTTGTGGTCATTTCTCCGGACTACAATTCACTGCCAAAAAGTGACAGGGGGGTGGGGTGGGAAATACAGGTTTCCCTGGCTATCTAAACACAGAGTGTTCTGAAAGTTTGAATTAGGCCACTTTGCTTTTCTGAAAGACCTACATTAGTCTGGTAACAGCTTTTTTTTTGTAAAAGTGAACATCTTCTTTAGATTTCTTTTAGTTGGCAAGAAAAGGGGATGAATATAGGTCTTCTGTAAAAGCAAAGTGGCATTAAAACAAACTTTCAGAAACCAGGGGATACCTGTAACCCAAACCCAAACCAACAATGCCGAGCTGCAGTATCTCACTTAATTTGTTGTTGCAAATAGCAGATTAAAAAATGTTACAATTCAAATTCCAACTGTCAGGACTTCAGGATGGGACCAGCTGCTGGGCTAGTTTCTCAGTGGATCTTTCTCTTTCTCAGAGATTTAGCACCCTGCCGAGTGAGGTGCTCTGGTGCTCTGGTGAGAGTTTGTGAGAGGCCATTCTCTCTGGGAGAAACCTAAAGTGACACCCTTCACCTCAGCCTCTAGAGGCCCAGGTGTGGGATAAGAAGGACAAGCACAAGGACATGGACCAGCCTGGCTAGCTGCCACCACTGCACTGCATGAGCTGTGTGTCAATCTACTTTTTGTCTGGTTTGAATCCAGCATAGTGTCCAAAGCATGTTCACAGCCCTTAGATCATGAAACACATGGCCTTGCCTGAGATTGTTCCTACCATCATTTACAGAGTTTCTGGGTAGGTGGCTTGTTCAAGATGACAATGAAAGGAAGTGATTCTTTCACTTGTTAGCTGTGTGACCTTAGGCAGTCTACTCAACTTCTCTGGGTATCTGTACAGCGAAGCTATGTTGCAATAACACCTACCTCGGAGGGTTTTTATAAATATTAAGAAAAGCAGTGCTTTGGTGTTTTTTAGCTATTGGCTCAAAACAAAACAAAAAGACCCCCTAAATCTTGGATTACAATATTTTGGTACATACATAGTACAAATTCACTGAAGAAAAATAAGAGAAAATGTTACCCAGTGTTCTACAATCCAAACATACCAGTGTTAACGTACTGATCCATAACCTTCCTATTATTTTCTTTGCTTGCACACACAGATGCCCTTATATATTCACAAACCTGGTTCATACATATTATTTTATAAACTATTCTTGCCCCCTAACAAGTTATTATTAATAAATTTCTTGCTAAGAAATATGTCTACAACATGTGTATTAGTGGTAGCATAACATTTCATTTTATGGATATAATATATTTTTACATGTCTAATCCCTGGTTTTTTTAATTTTTAATTTCTTTTCTAATTTTTGCTCTTATAAGTAACTCTTTGATGAATATTCATGTACATAGAATCTTGAGCAAATGACTGATCAGTTTTAGAGGTAAACTTCCAGATGCAGAATTATTAAAACCACAAACATTTTCATGCCACTTTATATATATTGTCAAATTGACTTTTAGAGAAGTTCTAACAAGTTAAACACTCTTGGTGGTGAAAGAACATGTCCATATTTTTGCTGAAACTAGGCCTTTATCACTTTTTAAACTTTATCTGTTTGACAGATGATAAATGATATTCCATTGTTGTTTTAATTTGTATTTCTTTGATTACTATTAAAGATGAAACTGTGTTTATATTTATTAGTTATGTTCTTTATTAAATTAAAAAAATTATTATTGACATGCAGGAACTGTTATTAGGGGATTTAAATATTGCCTTATATGTTATAAATATTGTTCTCTTTTTTCATTTGTCTTTTAACTTTATAGATTTTTTGACATTGTGTACATTTGAAAATGTTATATAATGAAATCTAGTAATATTTGAATATTTGGAATAGTAATCTGGAATACTTCTTAAAATAATCTTTCTCAGGAGGGCGTAAGTCTGTTATGTTTTCTGAATCTTTGAAAAACTGAGAATAAGTCTCTGGGGCCCTCATGTAAGAACAAAAATATCTTGGCAGTCTAAGCACTTTTGACACACAATCCTCAAAATCCTGTAGAGGCCATTCCACTATTTTCTGAAAGTTAGCATTGAGAGGTAAGTCTGATGCCAAAAGGGTTTTTCCTCCTAGTAAGTATGCTGGGGTTTTTTTGTTGTTGTTGGGCAGAATGACTGCAAGATTTTTCTCTATATTTGGAATTAAAAAAAAAAAAAAGGAAAACATGGTAAACAGAGTCTATTTTACACTTGGACCTGGTGCTCAGGGCGGGTTTGGGATTGAAGACAAGGATTCCCTCAACTCAAGAGAATTATCTTTTATTGTTGATTTGGTCACCACTTCCTCTCTGCCTAATGTGTTGTCTTTTCTGGGTTTTCTATATTTCAATCTCCAGAATCCATCCTGCATGCCTCTTCTCTGAGTTCCAGAAACTCCCCAGCTGGAGGACTGCTTTGCTCATCTTCTTTTTTGCATTGCTAACTTGCTTGTCAGTGTTTCCACTGGATTTTCACATCAGTTGATTATTGTTCTTTCTCCCCAAAGTAGTCTTTCCCGATGTCAGATTGCTCCTTTTTCATGGGTACAACCTCCTGTCGACTATTGTTGAGAACCTGAATTTAATATTTTACAAAATGCCACTCTGTCTCCTACAGCAAGCTTTTTTTTTTTTTCCAAAAAAGTACTTTTCTTTTGAGATCATGAGCATTTTTTGTATGTCCAGATGTTTCCCTGCTTGCTCATCTTTACAAAGGGAAGTCTATATCTGTTCAGTTTTGGGACTTGGGATAGGTTCAGTTGGAGTGTTTAGGTATATGTTCAATTTCTCTAGTCTGAGAAGAAGGGATCAAGGAAGAATTTATAATTCTGGTATAATTCCTGATTTCTCTGGATCAGAGTTTCAGGGTTCTTGGAGAGGGAGAAGGGAACCACGCCCGAGGTGGCCATATGACAAGCTTCCCCATTGTGTCCAAGTCTCCTTTCCACCTGGCAGGGGCACTATCCCCCTTCTCTAATGGACAGGATGGTTCTTGTGATGAGCCTGTTGCCACAATGCCCTCACATTTCTTATCACATTGTTTGAAATGAATTGAGCTGAAATGGCTGTGGATGTGCCTCTTATAACAGATTTTGCTGAGGAGGGAAATTTGCACCTGTTTGGAGTTGGCACCGCATTTAGAGAGAGCAAGGGGGGACCAAACACAAAGGCCGGCACATCCGGGATAATTACTGCCAAAATTACTTACCAAAGACATCTGTGAAGCTGTGATCCATTCGGGAGAGATGTGAAAATGAGCCCCAGCTGAGTCTCCCAGCAAAATGATTCCCCTGGGCTGTGAACCTGGGTGGCACAATTTATTTGCATTATTTATACACTCAAGTAGTTTGGAGCCTCCAGATTGGGTGGTTAGGAGAGTAGATACCCTGGTGTGTATTCCATGCACAGAGCGTCATAACAGTGATACATTGCCACTTTTCAAGTGCTGGGGAGTGAGGGAGATCACATTTAGGAGCTGAATGAGATTTCTAGGCCATCAAAACTGCTAGCTAAGCTGTACAGATGCAGGTGTGTTTCCTCGCTCAGCATAAAACAAACTGCCGTGCAACCTCATGAGTGAGTGATGGATGAATCAATGAATCAAAACTTTTTCTGAACTCAGAAATATGCCTTAAGTTTTGGTTTTGGAAATCACTCTCTTGAATTCTGTTATAATTCACTTTAAGAATTTGTGATCTCATGGAGCAATTTTGACTTTTCAAAGATGTTATGGTCTTTTAAAGCCCTTAATCCATACACACAAAAGCCCTGGGTGGACAATTTTGGCTGATTAATGGGAGATGAACATGAAGGTCTCTGCAAAGCCCTATCTGGAGGTTAGGAATCACTTAATCTGCCTCTGAGGCCCAACTACACAATTCATTTATCCATGGGTGATGCATGTACTCTTCTAAATCCCTTAAGATCCTGGAAGAATCAACTGATGCCTCCCAGAGACAGAGAGGGGCACCTCTTTCCCCTAGCCTCAAGTCACCCAAGTCATGCTGGAGGACAGTCTAGCCTCATTTCAGTGGCTCCCTATCCTGGGCCTCTGTGACAGTTAGCACTTGGCCACATACATGGAGATGGAGAAGGCCCAGGACATCCAGGAGGGGTTGGGATGGGGCAAGTCCAAGAGGCTTCCCATGATGATCCTAGATCCTCATACCAGGATTTTTCACTAGATCTGAGTTTGTTTATTTATTTATTTATCAGTCATTTTTTCATTCATTCTTTTATTCATCCAACAAGCATTTCTAAACTGCATACCTATGCACTGCACTGGATCTGTGCATTTTCTACTCCCCTCCTACCCCTCTGAGAGTTTAAAGACAATTAGACTAAGTTGATTGAAGGCATGGACTGTATCACATCTGCCCAGGACAACTCAGAGCCAAGTATAGCCCTTGGTACATAATAGGAACAGGCATTTAGGAAATATCTGTCAAATGAATGAATGAATGAATGACTGAAATGCTTTTCAGAGTTAGGGAAAATACTGCCTAAACGTAAAAAGTGATGCTACCAGAGGGTCTTGCCTGAGACCCTTTGGGTATCACCAGGCACATATTTTCAGTAGTATGTGGGTGATCATAGGTTTCTCCTAACAGTAGTGGCAGCTCAGATGTCTGTGGCGTTTGGGCATGTAGAATACAGAGCTTTTGCTCAGCGATTTTTGGGAACTCCCAATGGCTATAACTTGGAGGTCTCCCTCAAGTCACCCAGATGTGAATCTTTAGCCCAGTTGCCTGCCGCAGGGACTCAGTCAGGACAAGCCCAGATGTCTGACCTTGTCGGGTATTGAGAAGGACACGGAGAAAGAGGAAACAAGAGCACCTCTATTTGTTTTCCTATTTGGAGAAGTGCTAGGTTTCCATTACCTTGCGCTCTCCCCTGCTGCCTTTTCTGGCATTCTCAATCAAGTTTCCAATCCCCACATAAAGGAGGCAGTAAGACAAATTCAGTGTTGCTTTTTCTAGGTTCTGCCTCCATTTTCTACAGGCTTTTTCATGCCTTTTTCTGATTTTTCATGAAAATAAATGGAAATCATTCAACTTTAAGCTGTAGCATCAGGCACTTCCTCACTTGGATGGTCTGTTCTCTTCAATCTGACTCAGACTAGAAAAGAGGGTCCCTATTGTGATAAGCACATTAACTCTATAATTCGTACCTTCACAGAACTTCTTCTCATACGGAATTCCATCTTTTGGATCAACACCCTTTAAAAGAGAAATGATGGAGATTAGCGGTTTGTTTTTAAATGTATGAGACACATACACTGAGGCCTTCCCTAATGGCTTTAAAAGTACAAAGGCAAGTCAGTGGATAAAACCCATTAAAGTCTTTTGAGCCCTTAATTCAACATAGCAACACTTTGTGTAAGTGAGTTGGGCTTTACGGAGCTGGGGCAGGAATAAGGGGAGATCCAGAAGCCCAACCATCTGGTCCAGAGAATGCAGGGCGGTGTCTGGAGTGCTGCCAGTGTCCCCATGAGGGGGCGCTGTGGGCCCACTGAGTTACAGGGACACGAGGTCAGAGTGTGTTCCTCAGTCTCCGAGCTGGGGAGCTGTAAGAGCCCTCACATCTCCACTCCCTAAGGACTGATGCTTCCAGACCAGCGATGCTCAACAGGGCTCATTTCCCCCCACCCCTACCCCAAGGGACATTTGGCAAAGTCCAGAGACATTTTTGGTTGTGACAACAGGGGGAGGGGGAGTGACTGGCATCAAGTAGGTAGAGGCCAGGGATGCTGCTGCACATCCTACAATTTCCAAGGGACCTGAATTTCCAAGACTCCAGGAATTTGTTGGGATTTCTTCCATTGTTCTAATTAACTATTTACTTTCATACTTGATTTTGCCTTTGTAATTTGGTATTCTTTTTCTTCAGGAGGACCCTCAAATCATATATTAGCTCAAGACCCCACAAAACGTGGGTCTGCTACCACTGTTGTGTTTGGTTGGGCTTTAGTCCCTTTCTCTTCCTGAAAGCTGCAAACCTGTTGTTCATGGAGAGCTGGAGCTCCAGCATTAAATGCCTTGAGATGTAGATAAAGGGATAACTACAGGGTAATTTCCACCCTGCCTGACTAGCTTTATGGAATAGAAAGAAAATGGCGGCCGTGAAGAGGTGGGAGCAAGAGGTTTGCTCCAACAGCTGTCTGGGTCGCTGTAAAACTTCGCTAACAGCACTCTTCATTTAATTTCGCCTGATTCACCACAGAATAAAGGGGTTAGATGCGGGTGACTTCAAGGGGCTGTGACTAACAGACCCTCAACTCTCATTACATCCCTACCATCTATCATGTGAGATCAGAGTCTTTACCCCTCTTCCAATTTGCAGAAAAAGGGTGCTTTCATCTGTCGTCTTCTTCCGCAGGACTGACTAAAGCAAATAGGCTTTTAAGGAGGGCAGAACGTCAGAGAACGGGGCTAGATTTGAATCTAGTTGCTTACCCAAATGCCATTACAGTTTGAATCCTCGTGTATATCCCAGTTGTCTGGCCTAAGAAGAAAACACCAACATTGGTTTTTAGCATATACTTCTTGCCCCGTGAATGTTAGCTGAATGAATGAATGAATGAACAAGTGTTGTATGAAGTGTCATTGATGGACAGCATGTTCTTCAAGGAGGAGTGCCACTCATGACTGTCAATGGCACACAGAAGCCTCCACTGGCCTCTGCCATTATCTCAGCTTTGGATATTTTCTGGGCACCATGGACTAATTCCAGTGGCCTCTATTCACGGACTGTATTGTGGAATGGTGCTGGTGAGCAGAGTGAATGAATCTGTAGCCCACTTTATTTAGATAGGTGAGGCCATTACAATTACGCTCTACACTCCCAAACATCTGGTATTCTGAATGCTGCGGCCCTGCAGTCATGGCTAAGATGAAGGTTGGCATATCCCTTTTCTGAAGTCCGAGATGTGGCTGGCTGAACATCAGCCCGGGACTAAAATATGACATGCGGTCCACTCACGGGAGCCCCGTGCTCACTCCTCACTCAGTCCTGCATGTAGGCCTCGTGCAGGAGGCTGGACACAAGTCCACCGTAACCTGGGGACTCGTGTGTTCCTCTCACTAGACTGGAAGCTCCGCGAGGGGAGGCCCCACTTCCATTTTGTTAACCGCCGACACGAGGCAGAGTGCTTGGCAATGAGCAAGTGCTCCATGAGCGTTTCCTGGACAAATGATGAATGAATGCTGTTCTTTCTTCACTGAGCTTTACTTCAGTGGGGACACGGAGGTCCCTTCTCTCTTTAAGTACCAATCCCCTAGGCTGGGGTTGGAATGATGCCTCCTACCTGCTTTTGAGAAGGTAATTGCCCAAGTCAGCGATGAGCAGAGACGTACCTTCTGCCCGGGTATGCCATCTTGTTGCTGTCATTGCAGTCTCTCCCTCGCCAGGTGTAGCCCCTCAGCGTCTGGAATTGAAGAGCACACACAGGAAGGTTCATTTCCGCCCCTTGTTATCCACAAGGAAGGGCAGTCAGAGCTGTCCCAGGGGTACTGACATGCGTAATTCTTAATTCCAATACAATCCAGGAACACTAGAGATTACTAAGAAACTTAAGATTAATATGCTGAGTCATGCAGTGTGAGGTAAAATGTAATAGAGTCCCAGAGCCAATGCCAGGTGGTAGTGTGTGTGCATGTGAGTGTGTGCATATGTGCTGTTGGGTGTGTGCCTGTACGTGGGTGCACGGGAGTGTATGCATGTGAGTGTGTAGGTATGTGGGCATGTGTGCACTCACAGGTGTGGTCATGTGCATGCATACTGTACGTATGTGTGTGTGTGTGTGTGTGTGTACACTTCCACAAATGTTCCTGAACTCTCTGAACTTTATTAGTCATCAATCTTCTTAGCCTCCAAAACAATTGGTTTATTTGGTCAAATGATTACTCATTGTATTGGATAATTTAAAAGTCTCTAGCAAAACTGGCTAATTATGTGGATTTATTATATGACTGAACTGTCTTGATCCTAGATTTGAAAGAATCAAGAGTCATGATAATATCAAACAATGTTTTTATTTCCCCCATTCCTAGGTTGAATATCTGAGATCCCACCAACTTTGGGGAGTTACATCTGCCACTTGCTTGTTTGATTTTGCAGAGAACATCCTGACATCTTACTGCTCTAAATCAAACATGTGCATCCACATAAACACAACACACACACTCTAAAAGTAGGTTTAAGAATTTCCAAAATAATTCTCAACACCTTCAGATAACTGAAATACCCAGCTGGGAATGGCTTCAGGAAACAAAAACAGTCTCGGCCTAAAGACCCACTCTGACGGTTCGTGTATTATTAAGATGCCAAAAAGTCCATAAAAATCATGGAATGGTGTATTATCAAATTATTAATACATTCAAATGGAATGTATTAATCTTTAGTGAGTCTTGTGTCACTAAAGGAAAGATATTTGTAGAAAGCGATGCAATATTTAGTGAGCATCTGGTTACTCTTAACAATACTTACTGGGAAAATGCTGTATTTGTCTGAATCTCCATCTTTGAATGGCACAGAATTTTCTATAGCTCTAGAAAAAAGAAAACAAAACAGCTGGTGAGCTAAGAAAAAAAAAGAAACTGTGTTTGTGAAAACAAACAGAGACATTTCAGATACAGCTATGTTGAGTATATGTGATAGAAGTCCATTCTAAAAATAAAATGAAGCGCCTCCACAGTATGGAAGAGTGCCAGCCAAACTTTGCCAATCTCTGCTCTCCACCTAATTAGAACTATTTTCTCTCTGATATTAATCTGGCCCATATGGGGAAGTGAAATAATCACATCAACATTTTAGAGAACATAGGATATTGATGTTGAGATGCCCAGAAAAGAAGGAGACTGCATTTTTGGTCCAATGAACTCAGCACTACAGATTGAATTTGTGCCATTTTACACATTCTGTGATGGAAGTCTTTTCTTAAAATCTACTCTTTTAAACCACTAACTCTAAGAATCTTGAGGCACTTGAGCTGGCAACGTTCATTCCCATTCATGAGCCTGGAAAACCAAAGACTCGGATGTGACTGATGACCAAGCAAATACATGCTAAAGCCACAGACCCCTCCCTCAAGGGAGGCTCTCTCCCTGTGTCCTCACTATCAAACTTTCCCCAGCTCCTGCATGGCAAACACTGCTTTCCCTCTAAGAAACTCTCTTATGGGGTAGCAGTCCAGTGCCATCATATGGCAGGTTGAGGCTATTTTCAGAGCCTAGAATGTAGAGAGTAACATGAACCTTTACAGGATTTATTAAATGGTCTTTTGAATCAAGAGCATTCCAGCAGCTGTGAGAGCCTCAAGGCAAATGGATTCAGTAAGAGCCAGCATGGAGCCTAACTGGTGTCTCGGAGCCTGTCTTACTAACTCTGGGATGGTGGACCCCCCAGAAGTCTAGGTAATAAGCTTCTCCGGGGATGGCCTCTCCTATAAAACTAGGTAGTTTCCCCCCATGTACATATTTGACCGCTTGGACAACCAGTGTAGTTTTCTAGGTGAGAAAAGGAGGTAAGACACACACACACACACACACACACAGGGTACAGACCCAAACAATTATATTTTCAGCCTGGAAAAGGTGCTAGGTGAAAGGTCCCATCTAGTACTCCAAAGCTATCCCCCACCCTTGCCATCCTGAGGATGGGAGTTTGAAGGAACAATGATGGGAGTTTGTCTCTAGAACTGGAAAGTGAGTTCATTAAATTAATGAACAAATGAAGCAGATGAATTAATGAACAGATGAAGCAAATTAATAAGCCCATGAAGATCTGCTTGTTTTAAAGGCTCAAAGTAACTAACCCAAACCACACATTCTAGACACAGTACAGTAGATTGGTCATCCAAAGTAGCATAAACTATAATTTACATAAACTCCACAATCCCTTATTCATAGTCTCCAAACCAGAGTGCTAAAAATTGAGTTGTTGTTTAACTTTGCAGAAAATTCATTTGGTGGTAAAACTAGATCTGAACCAATATAAGGCAATTCATCAGATTTACCCTTCTTAGGGTGAATATTTATACATTTCACTGCTGAAATATAAATGTGTTTGATCAGAGGTACTGAGAGTGTTAGGTGATCTATGGTCACCATATGTTGATTTTCTTAAAATCTGGAAAATTCTGAATTCCTGATCACATCTGCCTCCAAGGTTGTAAATAAGACATTGTTGATGTTTATTAACATTACTTCTGCCAAATTGTATCTAAATCTGATACTTCATGTACCTTATAGATGTCTAGTTGTATGCTGAAACATACATTCATTCATTCATTCATTCATTCATTCATGCATTCATTCCACATGCATTTCTGGAATCCCTGCTGTGTGCCAGACACCATGTTAGATATTAGGGATGAATATAAGATACATTCCAGTGCTAGAGGAGCTTCATGGGGGCAAACAACTCATCAATAGGCAACTACAGTGCTACGGAGAAAATGCTGTAAAGGGCTGTGCACCATGAGCGAAAACACTTCTAATGCTATACTGGGAAGAAGGTAATCTTAAGTTTAAATTTAAAGGATGAGAAAGCATTTTCAAGGCATGTAATTGGGTGAAGAATGTTCTAGTAGGAAAGAAAATCATGAGAAGCCTCTTAACATAGCTCTGGGTTCTGAAATTAGACTCTCTGGATTTGAACCCCAAGTCTGCTGTCTACTTGCTATATAACCGTAGGCAGATTATTTAATCTTTTGTACCTCTGCTTCCTCATTTGTAAAATGGGGCCAATATTAGTACCTGCTTCCTAGGGCTGTTGTAAAGACTAAGTTGGTTCCTCCATGGGAAGCATAAAGACCTATGCCAAGCATGTGGTAAACACTCACAAAACATTAGCTCTTTCTATTATTTTGTGCAATGGTAACAGTTATTCCAAGGATGATTTCTAGGGCTGGGCAAACAGGAGTCAGGTATCTGCTCCTATGGCATTTTAGTTTCTGGAACAATCCCAAATCCAATCCATGTACCCTCTTCAGATTTCCGGATTTCCAGGCACACAATGTTCTACCCAGTTATCTTGTTGGCCAGCACAGCTAATCACCTGCTCAGGGATGAATATAAAATATATTTCCAAAAGAGCCATTGCTCTATGACTACCAGTAGTCAAGCTAGCGGGCTTGATCCAGTGAGCAATTGTAATTGCAGGTGAATGTTATTCATTACATAACAGAATAGCTATTCAAGTTCAAACTCCCTAAAATTATTTCATGAAACTGGGGCATTACAACAAAAGACAACTAGGGAGACTAAAGTTTCCATGTGTAGCTGTCTCACATTTGAGTCCCAGGCAGCACTCCAGGGCTGGGAATGGGTCTGTTTCATATGCATGTGGATGTGTTAGATGCATCTCTGTAAGATGAAATGAGAGCAGAGAAAACCAGGAAAGAATACACCCGGGCTCACCTTGGTGGCAGGGACAGGGACCGATGTCATTGGAAGGAGTAGGTCATGGGGAAGAAGGAACAAGGAAAAAGAAAAGAAAAGAATGATGAACTAAAGGTAATTAACATAGGCTAGAATAGTCTGTATGCCTTTATGTGAAATGATCCATATGCGGGTTTATGCATATGGAAATTAAATAACAAGAAGAGATTATTAAGAGGGGACTCTCTTGACTTACCATTGTTACAATAAAAAACAGTGCACAGGCACTGTGAATCCTGACCAGCACAAAATAAAAAAAGAACAAAAAACTTGATTGCCCTATGGTAGTAGCTTAGTATCCAATACATTTCTTTTCTAGTAAAATAGTACCTTTTCTTTATTTATTCTCTTGTTTCTTCACTGATTCCCTACTAATTCGAAGCAATGTGTTAAGTAAGCAATGTGTTAAGATAAAAGGTTTACTAAGAAATGGTGTCCCCACCCTCTAAGAGTGGTGGGTGGTATGGGATCCTGATGGGGAGAGGCCATAGAAGAACAGCATGCAGGAGCAGGCATCGGTGAGCTCGGGGTATGGAGGGCTGGCCAAACACCTGGTAGCAGGGAGCTGAAAAACCACCCATGGTGGGGACACCTTCACTCTACTGTGAAGGCGTTAGACCAAACAGGATGCGGCAGGAGAAGCACAGAACAGGAAAAGCATTCCTACTGGAAGGGATTTTACTGAAGGATTATGTAATAGAAGACACATAGGTCTTGTCTCTACCACCTGCTGACTGTGCTTAGGGGGTCAGACATTCAATGAACTAGAACCTACTTGGTCATCCAAAAGTGGGGCAAAGAGTCAAGGGACAGACAATTGAGAGGCTCTGAGCCTGGCCTTTGCAACCAGGCTGCTGGGTTCAAATGTCGGATTTATCAATTACTAGCACCAAGGCCTTGGTGCTAGTAAAAGACTTTACCTCTTTAGAAAGGAGACAATAATGCCATCTGCCATGTAGGGTTGCATTGACAAGAGTTCCTAGTGCATAGACGTTACCAGATAACTTAGTTATTGTTATTATTACTAAGCCACAGGTTGTTTTGAAGAATAAATGAAGCTGCATTTAAATGTGCTCTGTAAACCATAAAGCACTGAATAAATTGTGATCTGATGCAAATTATACTCAAAGCACAATGATTTTTTTAGAAAGAAGAAAAAAAACACACTGCTTTTGCTTTTTCATAAAAGAAAAATTTCCCTTTTAAATAGTTTCAGGAAAATCCCTGGTCACAGATGCTCTTGAATTCAATTTTTCAAAGGTGGTTCAGTTGAAGAGTTGTCACTTTGGGTCCTGCTGGCCCATGTTTGACATAGAAAATGCAATGATGCTTTCAGCAAGGAGGGGCAGGTGTCTCAATTCAGTAACAGCTAGGCATGATGAAATGATTGGGGGCCTGGGGAGCTGCCTGCATCTCAGCCTTCCAGCATCTTCTTTCATGTCAATTTCCCCTCTGCTCCCCATGTCCTGGTAGTCTTTGTCCAGCCTATTCATGAAAACTGGTGTTGATCCTGTTTCTGGGACCCAGGTCAGCACTTTGCACAGCTGGCTTACGGGAGTTCACGTGGGCAGATGAACCAGGAAGTTTTAAAACTCTTGGATCTCCAAGAGGCTTTGAATGTAGGTCAGAAGATAGTCTCCTCTCCTGAGAAGCTTTCACAGCAGACAGGAGATGTTTAGTGGATTGAGCTCCCATGAAACTCATGAGATGAAGGATGGAGGAATGTAGGAAAAGTGCCTCTTCGTATGGGTTGGATTGTGTTCACAAGAAGTCATGTTGAAGTTCTAACCCCTAGTCCCTATGAATGTGACCTTTTTTGGAAATAGGGTCTTTGCAGATGTTACAAAGTTAAGATGAGGCCATTAGACTGGGCCCTGATCCAACATGACTGGTGTTCTTATAAAAGGAAAAGACAGACACACAGGGAAGACAGCACGGAGGAGGCTGGAGGCAGAGACTGGAGTGTTGCAGCTACAAACCGAGCAACAACAAAGATGGCCGGCTACCGCCAGAAGCTAAGAGTTGACCCGGAACGTCGGAGACACTCTCAGAGAGAGCAGAGTCTCAGAGGAACCCTGCCAGCATCTTGCTTTCAGACTTCCAGCCTCCAGAAGGGGGAGAGGATACATTTCTGTGCTTCTAAGCCACCCAGCTTGTAGCTATGTTATTACAGCTGCCCTGAGTCCAGATGCGCAGCCCGAATCACCTCCAAGCCCTCGCAAGGAGAGCTAGACCCACCAGACACACCTGGCAGCCTGGGAGAAGTGATTTCTTTAAGACTCAGTGTCCTTCACTGTGAAATGGAGTAATACCTCATGGAGTTGTTGGGAGAACTGATGCAGACAGGTTCGAACATTCCACGTGTGGCATCCACAGCAGCCACAGTCACATGGGAAGGGGCCAAGTGCAAGGTAGAGCCTGTGTTATTTTGCCTCTTGGTCCAGTGTCCCTCTCAGCACACCTTTCCATCCTTTAATGCCATGGACAGTGATCATGATGACACCCAGCATAACCCCAGACTCAGAGTAGAGCTGGGGTATGGGATTTAAAATGGAGATGGGAGGTCCTGGGAATTCGGGACAGTGTCTCCGTATTGGCAACACTGTTTATACATATCTGAGCCAGAGTTTTTCAGTAATGGGTTGGGCTCTGTGAAATAAATTGGTCCCATTCCAGCCTCGTTGAGTGCCCTGGACTAAAGATGCTCAGATTCCCTTTCCTGACGAGGCACTGACCTTGACCTTGTCTGTGTCTTACACAGCAAGGAGGGGCTGTCCCCATGTGTGGCACGGGTGTGCACCAAGCTGCCCAGAAGTTTCACTGGCAGGCTGCGTGCCGGCCCAGGGTATAAGTCAGGCTTTGAGGTTCAAAGATACTGGTATGCAGTGGCTTTCCAAAATGAGTTGGGCAGAGCTCATTTGTCTTTTAATTTCTGTACCAGTCATGGTACGAGTCGTGAGCAGCAAACACTTTCACCTTTGGGAAGATGACTTTTACATCACAATCATTTTAGTCATTGGAAAACAGGGACAACCAACGGTGCCATCTCATGCCAATGCTCAGGGAGGTAGAAATAGTATACGTACGATTTAATCCTCTGACAGATCTTGGCCAAAAATGGGAGGGAACAAACATCAGAACTACTTCTGGAATGTTTCTGGAGAGGAAAAAAAAATAACAAAAGGAGTTGCTTAGTTCAAGGAATAGTCCTGTAACTTGTAAAGGCCCTTCTCCTGCTGGCTCCATAGTCTGGATTTCAGGAGCCTCTTTCCTTCAGAACCTGGGCCATCTCATTTAACTAAATTTACCTCTTGTTTCTGTCCCCACACTCCATCCTCACTCTGTCTCTGTGCCTTTGTTCTTGTGGGGGCCTCAGCCTGCAGCTCTCCCTTCCTCGCGCTGCCTGCTATCCCCACCTTCACCCATGCGCCACCTCTTTCCAAGAAGGTCTGGCCCACTGTGGTCTGTTCCACTTGGCCAACAACATTCTTCTCGTTCCTTGTACTCAAGGGCTTTGAGAAAGCGTTTGACATAAAGAACATATTCAAATAGAAGAATCCCAGCCTACAATGAGAGAAAGTCAAGACTAATAAGAGAGACATGGCCAGGGCTTGGGAAGAAGGAAGGAGGAAGTCCCCTTTCCTGGGGGATGCCGTGGGGGCAGGTAAGGTGTACAGATGAAGCTCCTCAAGCTTCATGAGCAAGGGATTTCAGAGAGCAGTTTCCGTAAGACTCTAGCTGTGTGACAAATGAAAAGCCCTGGCTTTTTACTGAGAGGTACTTTTACAATGATTGTGGTTTCCATGATGCTTTCCCCAGAGAAAGAAAAAGACAACAAGGTAGAAAATTTAGAAACTAGCATTTATCAGTGAAGGGGGAGAGATGGGTGATTTTTGGCAGCCCAAAGAGTCCTTCGGATGGCTATGAGTTGGATCAGTAGTGTTGGTGGTACATTGATCCTGGCAGAGGAGAACAAGGCAACCTCCTTTTCAGGCTATGAATCAAAGTTGAGCAAACCTTTGTGATGTTTGCTCAACTTTCTAGGATGAGAGGAACCATCCTGATTGGTACCCCCGTCCATATGCAAGACATGGAGACAGAAGAGGCTGTCCTTGTCCTCATCAAGCTTACTGTCTAGTAGAGTGTAGGGGGGAGTATCTCAGCTCTTAGCATGCTTTTTGAGGTCTGCAGTGGTCCCAGCATTAACACGGCTATCTAGGAATCCAGAGGAGGAGGCAGGAGATGAGCCTGAAGTCACATAGGAAGGATGCTGGCAGGAAGGAAGAGACAGATGTTCTAGGCTCTGTGACCCCAAGTGTGGTCCACAGACTTGCTACAGGTGCAGTTTGTGAGCCCCACCCTGATCTACTGGACTGGAAAGCCTGGGGTGGGTCCTGGGAATCAGTCCTGGGAATCAGAGCCTCCTGGGAATCAGAGCCTCCAGGTCATTCTGATGCTCGCTGAAGTTTGGGAACCACTGCTCTAGGCCCTAGCTGATGAAAGCGTGATCACAAACCAGGAGCATGGATGTTGTCTGGGAACTTTTGGAAACGCAGTCTCAGGCCCCACAGCAGACCTGCTGAATCAGAATCTATGATTCATCAAGGTCCCAGGTTATTGGAGCGATCTCTGAAGTGGGAGAAGCATGGGTCTTCACAGACGGAGCACCAGTGAGGTGCTGTGGGAGTATGAACAGGTGTGGCATCTCAGGGGGCCACCGAATGTTTCACCCTGGCTGGGTTGTAGCAAAGCCCAAGGACGTGGTGAACCACGGAGGGGAGCAGACATCATGACTAGCCTAAGATGCTGCAAGTTGTGCTATCCTGTGGGGGATTACTGAAGGTGTTAAGCAGCGGGATCACATCTGTATTTCAGAAAGTTATCCTGGGGGTGAGAGGGTGGCCTGGAGGAGGTGAGCTGGGGCAGAGAGACCTGTCGGCAGATAAAGATCCTGAGACCTGATCCTGGGGTTTCTAATCTCAGCACTAATGCTATTTGGGGCTGAATAAGTCTTTGTTGTAGGGCTGTGCTGTGCCTTGCAGGATGGTTAGCAGTGTATGTGGCATCTAGCCATTCAGATGCAAGCAGCCCCCAAATGTCACCAGACATTGCCAGATGTCCTCAGGGGAGGGGTGGGGAGGACAGAGTTGCCACTGGTTGGGAACCACTGTTGTAAGGCGGGAGGAGGGGGATGGTGGTGCAAAGGAGGGATATTTAGAAGGTTGAGTCCAGAGACCTGGTAACTGATTGAGATGAGCACTGTAGACGCACCATAAAACAAACACCAGCATGAAATTATACTACAACATTGGTGGCAGTTTGGAAATACAGACACATTCTGAGACTCTGAGTTCAGTCAGGTTGCATTTGAATGTTTGAGCTACGTCTTTGAGTATTTATTTGAGTCTGAAGGCCTTGGTCTAATTAACCTAACGACAAGGTAGATTTTAACACTGATGTAACCAACACATCAAAAAAACTTATGTGGACAGCCTTATAATTACTGCACAAGAGGTACAAAAGAATTAAATGTTATAATTGCACAGCTGTTCACTGTTAGGATTTAACTGAAGGCTGCGGCTGTCTCTGACGTTCACTGTGCAGAAACTGGGTCTAGGGTGTGGACAATAGATGATGTAGCTTGCCCAGGGACAACCCGCCCCCCCAAGCAGAACTCCTCCTGTTCAGACAGAGGTTCTAATTATCCAGTCCTTTCATCACATAGCATGGGAAAGACTAACCTCTTATCATTTACTTGCAAAGAGAAATGAGACAGACAGAGAGTAATGTTGCAGAAGTCCTCCCTTGCAGTTTACCAGCCCTTTCCTTTCAATTTGAACGTTGCTAGACAGAGGCAAAATGTAGGCTGCTATTGATTCAGCAATGGTTTTTAAAATATTGCACCTGGCGGCATGTAATCCCATTTAAATGAAAGTCTCAATCTGGGCTGTCCCTGGGTACAGGAGTCACGCAGGATCTTCATTTAGCAATCTATTTGAACCAGTTTCTGCTTGTATCCTGAGCTTTCCCAAACACCAGGACGTTAAATGAAAACAGAACAATACACAGGGGTTGAATAAAGAAAAAATGTGGTGACTGCGGTAAATAGAAGGTCAAAGGGGAGAGAACAACTACTCTTCTATACACAGCCAAACCGAAGTTGAATTTCTGCATGGTGAAGTACCTTTCAGCCCTTGCTATGTATTATTTTACTTGGGTTTAATTGCACTGGGGAAGATGATTCTATTAAGTAGGTAGGTTTCTGATCAGGGATGTCAGGTACAGTTGCACAGGTCGTGCTCTGCATAATTTTAACCTACATAGCCTGTGATGTGAATGGTGCTTCCTGAGATTCAGTGCTGAGGAGGTCTGGTTGAGAGCTATTGGCATAGTGGAGAAGGTAGGAACTCGGATGTAGCTGGATCTGGATTTAAATGATGGGTTTCTCCTGACTAGCTGTGGGGAATGAGCACATTACTTAACATACCTGATCTTGAATCCTCTCGTCTGTAAAATAGGGTTGATAAAAAAATATACTATTTTCTATGAGTTTTTGTGAGAATTAAGTAAAATGATTCCGTAACTCAAGGTACTCTAAACCCTTAGATGCTCAGTCTTCTGCCAGATCCATGAGGAGCCTCTCAGATCCTCACTGAGAGGCAGATATTTTCCGGAACATTCCCTTCGACAATACTTCACTTTTCTCCAGTTTGACAGGCTGTGCTGAAATAATATACAACCTACTGTGTGCTTCTTTCTGCATCCTGGCTAAGTCTGCAGTTAGAGCATCACAATGGAATTAATTGCTGCCAATATCAGCTGAGCAGTAACTCAGAGACACTTATTTGCATTTTCTGATTATTTTTAATCTAGAGAGCACATAAATTGGAGGAGGTTTTTGAGGAGTTTTGTATTGTTTTTCGGTAGATTTTTTTTTTTTTTTGGCTTCTCACAGGGAATTAGTGGAATCGGGCCCCATGAATGACGCTTGCAATTCTGATGACAGAAATGAAAACTTGTAAAATCCTAATTAGCCTTTGAGTTAATACCAAGGCAGTTTGTGCTAATGGAGTTAACAATGCTCTAAGAAGAAATTTTTAGATGCACGTGGAGAAGAAAGAATGAAGAATCGTATTGTTCTCTAGTATTGTTTAGAGTTCTGAAGGTGGTCAAGGGTTTCCCGTGGTGTTTCAGTCTCTTGCTCCATGGCTTTGGCAGATTAGCTAACCTGCTACTGTTGGTCTTGAATTACTCACTGAATTAAATAATGGTTGGCAACACAGATATTGTGATTGATTAATTGTGTAGAAATGCCTGAATATTGCCCATTCATTGCACACCAGCCTTGTACATCAAAACCCATATGCCCCCCCATAAGTGGGGTTGCCAGATAAAATATGGCACTGAACATACTTATACTAAAAATTTATTCATTGTTTATTTGAAATTCAAATTTAACTGGTCTCCTCTATTTTTATTTGCTAAATCTGGCAAGCTGAGCCATGAGGGCTTTTTCTCCTTATTTCTGTGCTGCCAAATCAAGATTACCTTAAATGTACTGCATCAGGGTGAATGATGATCAGGGTGATGAGAGAGAGGCCAAGGACGAAGGCCATGCCCTCTCAACTCTGATGAACCCTTCCTTATTGCTGGGATCTTTAGCATGGAGGGAGACTTGGTCCTTTGAAGGTTTACTTTTTCTGCTTCCTATTCAGTTGGGGCTCATTTGCATCCAGAGCCTAAGTCAAATACTTGACTCTGTGATAACGGATTTGAACTACACATAGTATTGATTGAGTGCTGGGTAAGCACTTGACACGCATCCATTCTTGGTCTTCACACCCATGCTTTGACAAAGGAGCACTGCTACTGTCTCTGTCTTGCTGACAGGAAAACGAGGCTCAGCCTGAGGTCACATATTTAGAAAGTGGAGGGGCAGGAGGATAGAGCCTCCTCCAAAATGGTCTACTAGAGAGTAGCAGTCCTCGCCTGTGAGTACCAGAGGACATTTGGCAACATCAGGAGACGTTTTTGGTTGCCATGACTGGGGAAGGGCGATGCGGCTGCTGGTATCTAGTGGGTAGAAGACCGGGATGCTGCGATACCTTCCAGTGTACAGGACAATGCCCACAACCAAAGAGTAACTAGCCCCAAATGTCAGTACTGCCCAGTTTGAGAAACACTGCTGTCGAGAGAGGGAGGAGAAAAAGGAGGGGGAGGGGCTCACTTTCCTACTTAACTTCACTGCAGCTATGGTATGTTGTGGGCTTGGATCCGGAGCAGCCCTTGGCCTTAGGGGTGTGAGAGCAGGGGAAGGGGAAGATGAAGGCGCCAAGTGGAACCCTGGTATTCTTCTCATCCGTTGCTTACCAGAGTTGGGGATTTCTTCACAATCTGTCTCGCCTTCTCTAGTGTAAATTTCCACGGCTCCTATAAAAACAAAGTTAGACAACGTTACAGCTTGTGTCTCATCTCTTCTTTCTATGTCTTTTCTGAAGTTAGAATCTTTAAAGTCCATAAATTTGCAGTAAAGAAATTATTCCATAAATTTGTGAGAAAATAATTCGCAGGAAGGCAATTTCATGCTAATAACTCTTTATTAAGGGATTTACTCTGTGCCAGATGCCGGGCTAAGTACTTTGCAAACAGGATCTTATTTAATTTTCACAACAGCTCTGAGAGAGTCGACCTTTTTATAGATGAGGAAATTGAGATACAGGAAAGCTAAGAAACTGGCTGAAGATCGCAGAGCCAGGGTCTGGCAGAGACCCATTCTGAACTTCTACCTTCCCACCTGCTCTGCTACACAGAGGTCTCTAGGTACCTTCTTGAGTCTGGAAACCCCACGGCAGGAGGTGGCCAACAGCTCACCTGAGTGGTGACTGCTCCCATACAAGGTAACACCCCATCTCCCATTCACCAACTCTTCTGGTTCCACATCCCCATTCTTTCAACCATGGCTAGAGCATCCACGTGCATCTTCTTAGTTCACATGGCAAGTATAAAGAGTTAGGTGATTACGACCAATGACTATTGTTACAGAATTCCGTATTTGTGTACTTGTGGGCAGTTTGGGAGGAAAGTAACCCTGGGGGAAGGGGGTGTGGAGTATTTGCTCCCAGCACTGCTTCCCAGATCTCTTGTCCTCCCCTTATGCCCCGACCCTGCCACATTCTTCGTCGTGCTGCTCTCTGTAAGACCTAGGAGAGCCTGGGTGATGGTTTGCACATCTGGGTTCAAACCCCAGCTCTGCTGTGCATTAACTGGGTGTCCTTGAGCAAGTTAAACTCTGAGCCCTTCAGTATCCACAGACTTACTTCCGTAACATATAAGCAAGCCCTATTTTTATCGTCTGTAACATGGGGATGATATCCACCTCACAAGGGTGCCGTGAGGATGACAGAACATGATTCATGTAAACCCCCAGCTTAATAATTGATGGGTTGGCTGGAAAATTTCTGTTTCAGCCCCAAATTTCCCCTCATGCAAATCAGTAGGGAAGCTGGGATTGTGGGAGAGTGCCATAGTTCTCATTCCAGGAAACTGAGAACATTGTCCCCGCATTTAAGCAGAAAGAAAGGGTACGGGAATGGGACTTCGGAGCTGGCGGTCAGCAGGAGAGGCCTCCTGGGAGATGTGACCACTGCTGCTAATGGACGTTCAGGACGTGTGTTCTTCACCTCCCCATCCCCGGGGAGATGCCTTCCTCCATTATGGAGCTCTGTGCTATTCTGAAGACCTCAGCCATGTTGAGTGAACATGGGTGGAGGAGTGGCCGCTCAGTGTGAGCTTGGGTTGGAGCCAATTTTCTGGCAGGTGCTTTAGGAAGGAGGAGAGCAGAGCCAGCCACAGCTTGCCCTCTACGGGCTGGCTCTGAAACCCTCTGCCTGGCTTCTGCCCCAAATCACACTCCTCCAGCTCAAATTCAAAGGATGACAACCCATGGCTCTTGTGTCAGAGGCAGCAGGACCGCTGACATCTAAGAGTGCATGTTAGCAACTCGAGAAGAAAAGCTGCTTTCCAGGTCAGTCTGGTCACCAGGATGCCCTTGTACGGTGTGTGTTTCTTAAAACGCTGAAACATGAATGTGCCAGTTGGTGAACAATCATGTCCCTGAGCCCTTGAGTGTCCCCACCACGGGCCTGGCCATACAGCCTCTCCCGAGGACTCCCAGCCTTCCTATGATCAGTCCACAAAGGGGCCAAAGTCATGGTACAGCCTCAGGGGTACGTGTAGACTGGGCTCCAACACCACACCCAGTGTCCAGTCTGATTGGCTGACAACAGCCCCCAAACAGTTCATTATAATCCTCACTTTAAGAACCTAGATCCATGAATGCAATTTTGGCTTTTTCTGGAAATTCTCACAAATCCTGGAAACTCTATGGTAAGTAAGCCTCTCTGGCAGGGTCATTGTAAGAAACTAGATCTAGGCGCAAATTTCTGTCATGGTGCCCTTTTTGGCTGCTCTCATTAGCCTAAAACTCATTCTCCACAACACTGTAACATGATGTTGGTGCTCCCCTGCCTTAATCATGTACCCACTGCTTCTCTGCTTGGAAATACCCCTTTCACTCTAAAACCCAGCTCAAGCACCTGAAGGGCCCAGTACAGTCCTTGCTACATACTAGGTGCTCAACGGATATGGAAATGAAAAGAAAACATTTATGATAGTATGTTAACCAAGGAAAACAGGCTACCAGATACTACACATGCAGAAACAGAAATCCTGCAAAGAAATAGGCCACGGTAATTGTGGGTGACAACGTTTTTCCTTTTGGTTCTTTCTTGCGTTTTCTAAATTTTCAATAATGAGCACAAATTCAGCAATACATGCTTTTTAAAAAGAATTCAACATATGTTGCCCTGTTTCTTCCCGAAGAAACAAAATCATGCTCCTGGCAGAGGGACGCAGAATGAGAACCCCGGAGATCTGGTGCGGAGAGACATTCCTGCCCTCCCAGGGCTTCCGGGCTGCCGAGGAGACAGAGTAGGAAGGAGCAGAACAAGCAGAAGTGAGAAGGATGGAGAGAGGCCTCGGCAGGGTCTTTGTAGGACAGGCCACTTGGATCCCCTTGAGGGAAATAATTTGCGTTTCATCCAGCTTGGTTCTCTGAGGGGACCCATGTGTGGTGAGGGATAAAGACAAGCAAGCAAAACAAACAAACGAAAAGCCCAGTGACGAGGTTCTGCACCAAATGCCTTCTGACCCCCACAGTGCAACGTGTGATAATGTTTCTGTCACCCTCCCTGGAAGGCCGAGGGCAGGTTCGCCAGGACCTGGCTTGACCAGAGCACTACTTGCTCCCACAGTTCAAGTGCACAAATGCCAACATAAAAAAGAGAATCTGGATACCAGGCCTGATCTTTTGTCCTCAGAAGAAAATGGATATAAGGATTCAAAGATACTTGGAGGGGCGCCTGGGTGGCTCAGCTGTTAAGCGTCTGCCTTTGGCTCAGGTCATGATCCCAGGGTCCTGGGATCGAGCCCCGCATCGGGCTCCCTGCTCAACGGGAAGCCTGCTTCTCCCTCTCCGTCTGCCTCTCCTCCTGCTCATGCTCTGTCTCTCTGTATCTCTCTGTCTCAAATGAATAAATCTTTAAAAAAAATTAAAAAAAAACAAAGATAGTTGGAAAAGTTAATTTTTTGCTTGTTGTGACGACAGGCAAATGGGAAATTGTTAGCACTGTGCAAATGAAGATAACTGCTCTCTCTGTTCAGTAACCTTTCACTGTTGGCAATCTGGTGTTTAAGGCAGTGCTTCTAAAGTATGAGGACCACTCTTGTATCCTCCAAAAAACTGAGACTTCAGTGGAGGGCGCAACTGTAATCAGGGGTTGAGAGAAAGTTTGGGGATAGATAGTGAGCTGGATATGAACCCTTTCTGGTCGGAAGTGACACTGGTGTTTATGACTCAGCTAGCGCAATCATCGGAGGCATAAGCAGATTCTCCATCAACAACAAGGGGCTTGGCTCTGGAGTGCTCATTTGATCTGCAATTTGCTATGGTTGACTCTTTCCAGTTTCTCATTACTTTCTCCCTCTGGTTATAGTGTGTCCTTATTCCAGCTTCAAATCCTCTTCAGGGTCTCTTTAACATTCTCATGAGTGGATTGCAAAGGAGGCCCCCACACAGGCTTACAGAGAGACAAGCCCTCAGCATGGGAGCTTAGAGTCCCAAGAACCATGGGTATGTAGAGTGTATTTATTTACTCATGAACTTGGAAAACTCCAAGGGCAATATGGCACGGTGTCCCAGAAGGCTGCTAGAGGGGTAGAGGTCGACCCTTTGCTTGATCATAGTACATAGTAACATATATCTATGGTAGTTTGTGGAACACTTCTGTCTAGAATGATTTAAGTATTCATCCAGACCAGAACCAGCCCAAAGTCTTCGGACAAGAGGAGAGGTTCGGTGACTACCAATCTTCAGTGGAAGATATTTAAATGTTGTATTGATTGCTAGGTCATGGTCTCCATCATCATCTTCTATTTAAAATGAGTTTGGACTCCAGAGAGCTTGTGGGTTTGAATCCTAGCTTTGCCATTCACTAGTTGTGGGACCTTGGGCAAGTTACTTAAGCACTCTGAGACTCACTCTCCTCATCTGCAAAATGGGGATGATAATAATGTGTGTGTGTGTGTGTGTCTGTGTATATTGAACAAGACAGCACTTGGAATAGTGCCCTGCATATAGTAAGCATGACATTAGTGTTAACAGCAATTGATGGTTTTGAGTTGTTATGTCACCAACACATAGCTGGAAAAATTACAGTAATTATAACATCAGCCTACAAAAACGTATGCTGTATTTTTTTTTTAAAGATCTTATTTATTCATTTGAGACACAGAGATAGAGCATGAGCAGGGGGAGAGGCAGAGGCAGAGGGAGAAGCAGGCTCCCCGCTGAGCCAGGAGCCCGATATGGGGCTCAATCCCAGGACTCCGGGATCATGACCCGAGCTGAAAGCAGATGCTCAACCATCTGAGCCACCCAGGAGCCCCTGTAGATTGTATTTCAATGCTCTTGAAAACTACTCTGAGTGGAAAACAGAGAGGTTACATAATGTAAGCAGGCCACTCTGCAAACAGAGCTGGTAGTACTCAAGTCTCTAGACTCCAACACCTTTTCCACCATGACCACACTGCTTTCCAAGAACAAAGTAAGCCTGAAATATTAAAATATGACTTCCAAGGTTTCATCAGGGCTTAAGGGAATGGCAAGGGGAATTCACATGGAGTGTGGATGGTTTAATGCAAAGAATCACAGGATCAGGGGAGAGAACTGGATCTGTATGGCAACAACCTATACAACTGTATGGAAATGCAAGTACAAGCATAGTAGCCAGTGTAGGACTGATCGTGAGAGAGAAAGAGTCATTCAGACAGTCATTTCTTTGTGCATTCATTCATTCTATTCGTTCATTCCG